TATGAGTGTGATTTTGATTTTTTTTTAAGTAGATTTGTTTTGTTCAATTTGTATATTTCATTATAGTGTTTGAAACTTGCGAAATTCAATGAAATAAATGAAAAAAACATACTATTTTTGGTCATTAACTTTTTTTAAAACAACTGTGTGTTTTTTTTTTAATGACAAATATAATAAAATAAATAAGTTCTCAACATAATTTTTTTAATAGATAATATACATAAAATATCTTATAAAATAAATAATTTGAATAATTAAAATGAAATCCGTGATAAGTTTTAAGGACTTAGATAACACCCTTTAATTTATATTTGGATAGAAAGAAAGTCAAAAGTCCATAATTTTAAACCAATCAAATTATGTTTTGTTTTGTAAACTCATACAAAGTGTGACAAACTCATTTTTCTCAAGCGCATGTTCTCTTTTTTAGGTACATCGGAAAATCAAATGAACAAAGCAGGGCTAAGCCCTTTCCCTAGATCTACCTATGATGTCTGCTACAAGCAAACTCCTAATTTGTGCTGGTGGTTCATTGACCACTAGTTGTTCAGCCCCAAGCTTTGCCAGTGCACATAGATTTGCTTCATTGAAAACATGTTGTACAATGCATTCACATCGTCGCGTAATGGTATTGGCATCTTCTATTAAGCCTCCGTATGGAGAATTTGTCTCTGTCTCCTCGTTCAAGAGCTTTACAACTTGCATGGCATTAGTCTCAATGATTACTTTGCTTATACCCTTTTGTAGCAGCACAGTTAATCCTTTGTATATAGCCCATAGCTCATTTTCAAGGCTTATTCCATCCTAGAGTCTACCATAATATCCACACGCACAAGCTCCAACTTAATCTCTGAATAGACCCTCAAATCCTCCTTTTCCTCTTAGCTTTCTACAACCATTTGTATTCCGTTTAATTCTACCTGTAGGAGGTAAAGACCACTTAATTAGTTTGAAAGCTGGTCTAAAATTAATAATGGCTATATTAATGCCTAGTTAATTTCATTAGAATAATCTAAGATAAATTTCACACTATCCTGGTTACTAGTCACAGTTTGTTAAAAAATCTTAAGAGTTTCTGTTTTTCCATATTTTCCATAGGCACACAACAAAAACATTGTGCCAAGTGAGATGTTCATTTGGTTCAAAAAAAAAAGAAAGAAAGTGAGATGTTCATTGAAATGTTTTTTGTTTTTAGCATTAACAATAAGCCAATCCAACCAAGATTTTTTTAACATTTCCACATACCATTTTCTCCCAAAAAATAGCTAACCAAACAACTTTGGCATTGTAGCAGGTTCTGAATACACTACTAGAAAATTGGCTTTTTGCGACTAATGTTTTTGCGACTGATTATTTGACCGTCGCAAAAACTAATATTTGCAATAGCACCCTCCTTTTATTATACCTATGCCCTAACAGAGACTGATTTCGCCTGGACTCTCATTTCCCCCAAATCTGACCAACCCCTAAACCGACCTAACGATATTCTCTCTCTCTCTCTCTCTCTCTCTCTCTCTCTCTCTATATATATATATATATATATATAATCGAACCCTTTCTTTCGTGTATATCTCCATCTTCACAGAATCCAAACCCTAATTGCTGTCGCCGACTCTCTCTCTCTCTCTCGGTAGCGATCGTCTTCTTCTTCGTCGTATTAATTTCTTCGTCGATTCATTCCACACAGATCTGATCATGATCTCTCTTCTGTTCCGTGATTTTGCAGAGTTTTGAGCGTTCTTGTTTCTCTTAATCTGAGATCCCAATGGCTCGTACGAAGCAAACTGCTCGCAAGTCTACTGGTGGAAAGGCTCCCAGGAAGCAGCTCGCCACCAAGGTATGAATTCCTGGCTTTGATTCCATTATGAATGTCTGTTCGTCTTTCTATTCCGATTTTTATTTCCGTTTGGTTGCCGAGAAACTGCAAGAAAGAAGAAATTAACTATGAAATTCTTTCAAACTTTTATTAGTATTTTTTTTGGGTCTTGTGAATTTGATTATGATTTCGCATCGTATTTTCTGTGATTGTTTCCGTAAAGGCTGCAAGGAAATCAGCCCCAACCACTGGTGGAGTCAAGAAGCCCCATCGTTACCGCCCTGGGACTGTTGCCCTTCGGTAATGGCTCCTCCCTTAAATTAGCTAGCTCATAATCCATTTGTTCACTATGTTGCATCACCAAACCCTAATTGATCATAACATCTCTTATTTTGATCAGTGAAATCCGAAAGTATCAGAAGAGCACCGAACTTCTTATTCGCAAGTTGCCTTTTCAACGCCTTGTTCGTGAAATTGCTCAAGACTTCAAGGTATTGTTCGATCTATTTCACTGATTTGGTGCTATTGTTGGTGTAATCTTACTTTCAATTTCAACTTATACATATTTATGATGCTAATTTATTTATTTAATTTATTATTATTATTTCTTATTTGGAGCAGACTGACTTGAGGTTCCAGAGTCATGCGGTTCTGGCGCTTCAGGAGGCTGCAGAAGCCTACCTGGTGGGCCTGTTTGTAACTGGTATTGTTTAATTGTTTTCATTTTGTTGTGTTTCATTTAATTTCTTTTCCAAGGATATCTAGTAATCAGTCAGTATATATGGAGATTGATTTTCTGATATTTTGCTATCACCCTTCATCTTCAAAGGGGACTGCAAGAATTGCATTCATTTGTGGGAACCTACGTCTGGTACGACATGGAATGTTGATGCTAATCCCTTTGTCAGACATACCAGAAGTGTTGAAGATCTACAAGTATGTATCTTCTTTTTTGCTTTTTGGATTTAGATGTAATGAATTGAAGTAACTTCTATTGTAACACAAATAATTTGAAGTAACTTCTATTGTTTACCTTTTTTTAAGAATGGCTCTTCCAACTTTTATCCATGCAGTGGAGTCCCACAGAACCTTATGTATTTGCCTCTTGCTCTGTGGATGAGAATATTGCAATATGGGATATTCGTCTAGGGAAGTCACCAGCAGCATCCATAAAGGCACATAATGTAGATGTGAATGTTATCTCATGGAACAGGTATTTAAATGTCTTTTCTTTCAGTAGGCACCTATGTCTGATATATGTATCTGATGACTTCTCTTTCTCATTCTTGCCTTCTATTTTAGTTTATGTAATTCCTAGGAGTCCCTAATCTGAATGATTGTATATATTGTGCATACTGCTCTGTACTGATTATGTATATATGTATGGAAAGTCTTTTTGCATACAGACTGTCACAGCTCATTGGGCATTGTTTAATTACTGTATTGGCTTCCGCCAGGCCCTGTACTCTGTTTTACTGTACTACTGTTAAGCAGGCCTTCGGTAATCTCGGATTACTGGCCGGTTACGGTGCTAAACCCATAGGGCCGGGTTTGGGTCGTGACAGAAATAGTACCTAAACAGGTTGTAAACCTTACTTCAAGTTGTTTGATTGAGGTATGTTTTTACCTTCCTTGGACACTAGACTAATCAATTTTATTTTTTATTTTATTTGCTCTACTTGTTGAATTTCTCGAATCTAGGTGCAAAATAGATTTCTCTTTTTGATGACTTGCTCCTCTCAATGCTCGACTTACCTGGTTTTTGGTGATTACATTATTTCTTTTTTCTTAAAATTAAAAACAATCTGAATGTCTAGATTATCAGCATCAGTCCTCTGTTGTCTTGGTGTTAAACCTTATTGATTATCTTTCCCATGCCTGCATTCATTGTTCACTTTAAAAAGTGCTTTAACTTTTGAAAGGGAAATGACCTAGCCGCAAGATAATTAAAACTGGGTGAAAGAGAAATGGTCATGTAACAAGAAGGCAAAATGAAGATCAAAATAAGCTTGGGGAGCTAGAATGGCAACTCGAATGCCATAGGGGGACGTCCAATCCAAGCTTTTTTTATGGCCTAGCTATGTCCTTACTGTTAGGCATCCGTGATACCTAATCAAGATTGGTAAAACACGAAACACATAAGGACAACGCACAAGAAAGATAAATCACACCTTTAAAAAGTGGCTTTAACTTTTGAAAGGGAAATGACCCAGCCGCAAGATAATTAAAACTGGGTGAAAGAGAAAGGGCCATGTAACAAGAAGGCAAAATAAGGATCAAAATAAGCTTGGGGAGGTAGAATGGCAACTCGAATGCCATAGGGGGACGTCTAATCCAAGCTTTTTTTATGGCCTAGCTATGTCCTTACTGTTAGGCATCCGTGATACCTAATCAAGATTGGTAAAACACGAAACACATAAGGACAACGCACAAGAAAGATAAATCACATGCACACACAAAGAACATGAAATCTATCCGTGATACCTAATCAAGATCAGTAAAACACGAAACACATAAGGACAACGCACAAGAAAGATAAATCACAGGCAACTTCAATCAAGCGAATGCTAGATCCTCCGAAGCTAGGGGCAAGCAGAAAATGGGCCAACATGCACAAGCAGAGGGCATGCTGCCGAAAACTTTGCCAAAGACAGTCGCCGCAGTCATCGGCATCAGAAACCGATGAATCAAGCTTGGAATGTCAAGTTCCCCATTGTGAACTAAGGACCGAGCATCGTGCAAAGTGAGCCCACACATCCGTCCTAAAGCTTGGATGTGGCCAAAACGGGACTGGGGCAAGATTTCTTCGTCACATTGGGATTCCATCAAAGCTTGGAATTCTTCAACTATGGGGCATATCCCTTGTCCTCCAAGGCTGAAAACATGCGTAACCGGGTTCCAACATCTAGCCGCGACGTGGATGAACGGAAAACACAGTGGAGTACGACTCAGTGGGAATAGTGCATTTACCCCGAAACCTCAGAAATTCAACTTTTTCGAGCCATCTAAAGTTGCAATCCAAGTCGAGAGTTTTTGGGCACAGAATGGCTCCATTTGTGGTAAAAAAAAATATAGCTGAATTGAAAAAACCACGAAGCTGGGAGCTTTTGTAGAAGATAAGGTGTTGAGTGGAAGACAGGCGGCGGCAATCTGGAGGTTCCTTGCACTGGTGGCCGACCAGCCACTTTTGTAGTTGAACGACCAGTACTAGTAGCCAACAACCATTTTTTATGGCCGACAACATTTGTTTATGACCGGTGGCCTCCTATTTTTCCCTCTGGGCCATCCATGTGTTGAAAGTGCTAAGAACCTGTCTTTTGTTCCACTCTCGGTGCATTTCTTCCATCTCTCTTTAAGAATTTTTTTGAATTGCTTATCGAGTTGTTGTTTTGCTTATCGAGTTGTATTTGTTTTGTTTGTCGAGTTGTTGTTTTGTTCATTGAGTTGTTTTACTCTGTTTGTTATGTGTTGGTTGGTTCATTACCTGATTAAACAATTGCCAATGCAATATTCAATTTCCATCAATCCTATTTTCGTGAAAAATGGTACGATGCGATGAATGCTCAGAATGCAAAATATAACACTTTTTAATCAAAAAATGTTTTTCAGTCCGATCATGGTTTCTTTTTACAAAAGAGTACAAGTTTTTAAGAAAATAAAACTGCCTAAGGCTGTACAATGTGCTAACATTACTAGAAAAAAAAAAAAGAAAACTAAGCAAAAACATCTGAATCGGCACTAGCCACTTCAGGATCGAGAGGCCCTTTTCGTCCTCTTCCTCGGCAGGGCGGACTCAGAGCTATCACCGTTGGTGCCACTGTCTGAATCTGAGCCAGAGCCTGATCTAGAACTACCTTTGCTCCCCTCCTCGGAGCCATCCACAGCATCGCCACCACCCTCAGAACCCGAGCCGGTGCCGTCACCTCCACCCTCAGATGACTCTGACTACGGGCTCGCTGGCTCCTCATCCTCATCTTTCTCATCATCATCCCGGATAGGCTCTGGTAGGCCGCTCTCGTCATAAGTACGTCTAGCTCTACCTCACCCGTGCATCGAAGTCTCTCGTCTCTCTCTCTCCCTACTGTCGGGGAAGGCACTAAAGGTCCTGCTGCGGCTCTCGCTGGGGCATCTGGTGGGACTAGCATCTGAAAATGACAGTTTGTCAAATGCATCAGTTACGGTATATATTGGATGCACAGATGATTGTAGTGTTGTATGTAGTGTGTGGAAGCAGTGTATCAATGCAGTGTTGTTAATGTAATACATTCAGATCAGTATGAAGCATATTGCAGTTGAAATGCAAATGTATCAACAGAAAATTTCATGACATGAAGTGCAAACTAAAGGAAACTTACCGGAATCCTGTAGAGACTAAGTAGGTTTAGGCTCGTCTGAACCATCCCAATCAGAGAAGCCGCTAGCTTGAGAGCCTGCTCGGTGTACTCTATGGATGCCTGTGAATTTGTTGAGATGATCAGCGGTCTGCAAAGCATAACTGAAATGAATTGAATGTGCAAAACATAAACTATAGTATGTACCGGGGTCGGGCCTCGAACTCGAACACGCTCGTGACCAGCTGGTACTAGCTCGATGGGAATCTGGTAAGCCTCCATTGTGGGTCACCAATAGGTCAGTATAGTAGGCAGCTCTGGCCATCCTACCCTCTACCTCATTTGAGAACCTCTCCTGTCATGAGCCCGGGACGCCCTGGATCCTCCTGCTCTGTCTCCCGCAGCCGGACCTCTAGCTCTCTCACCTCTGTGGGCGCTAGTCAAGGGTGGCATGAGGTATGTTTGGATGAATGTTGTGTAATCGCCCTTAAGCCTGAAGAAGTCGGCATCCCAACCTCTGGTGAAATCGATCATCTCTTGCATAGTGTACCTCTCTGTTATTCTCATATATGTGGGAGGCGGAATCGGAACCACCAGCTTGAGTAAGCCGAGGCTCTGTCGCAGGAATCACTCCTTTAAGAACCATGCCCGATAAACTGGGCCCTCGAGCAAGATCCGAAATCGAGAAGCGTCCCGAGCGCCAACAAACTGATCTCTAACCCCGTCAGGCATCACTGCCCATGGCTGCCAGGTGATTTGCAAATAGTGAATATACAGATTGTTAGCGGCCATTGTATATGCAATATGAAGTAGAGCTGAAATGACTGTAAGGTTTGTGTTACCTCTACTGCGGTCACTGTGTCGAAGAATCGACAGAAAAATGAGAATGACTCTCGAGGCCTCCGCTGGCATCTCCTGTCGTACCTGTGTGAGTACGGCACCATAGGTGGTATCTCCACCTCTGGCTCTGGGACGAGCCTCGAAAAATAGGCGTACACCCATAGCTGCAGAAGGTGGAAGGATAACAGTGAGTATATATCAGATGAATACAGATAATGTAATACAGAAAGCAGACAGTGTGTGCGGTGTACAGATAATGTAAAGCAGAAGGCAGATTGTGTGCAGTGCAGTGTACAGTGTGTGTAGTATACAGAAAATGAAAAGTAGAAATGTAAAGCAGAACGGTAGGATGTACCTTCCAGGCCCTCCAGTAGCCTCCTAGCAGATGCCCGCTCCGGCGAGAGGTGGAGCTCATGTACCCATATAATGTGGCCAAGCCTGCACTGCCCCAGTCGTAGAATTGAATGCCAAACAGGTCCACCAGGGTGCTCATGAGGTAGAGCCGGACAGTGTTCGTCCGGTCGGCGAACTGAGTAGTGCCAAATAGAAACATGGGGAAACACCAGGCGTAGTACTCGGTCTCCTCGCGGGTTGTCGGTGTCGTCACTGTAAAATGATCAGCGAACCATGTACATCGCACCATCCCCGATCGGGAGATGGGTGGTCGAATCCCCAGCAGGTAGATCTAAGTGGCCTCCCACTGGCCCATGTCAATGTCGAAGGGGATCGAATTGCCCCTATTCTAGCCTCATGATCATGGAGAAGTCATAGGTGGTCATCGTTATCTCCCTTGTGGAGGAGAAGTGGAAGGAGCTGGTGGTGTGCCACCATCTCTCTACTAAAAGCACCGAGCAGAGACTGGCTCGCTAGAAGTTGTGCAAGCCCCGAGCAGAATAGGCCAAAGCCTACCTCATCAACTAGCTCTCTGACTCTAGTGGAGAGCTCCTGGTACAAGTCCCTCGCCATCACTGTCCCATAGCCTCTCTAGGCGAGAGCGTCACCCTGTGTAGTGCATGACAGATGAAAGACTATAAATGAAATATCAAAGCAAGCAAAGTGCATAAAAAGGAGCAAAGATTCTGACAGCATCGTGAGAAAGATGAGTGGTGCGCTCTCGCAAGAGTAAGTCCTCAAGCATACCCCTAGCAAAGTCCTCA